TCAGAACGGTCATCGATATCGGTTTAAGTGTTGTAATTTTTTTTATACAACTTAGAATGGCAAACAAGCTGACGGCCCACCTGATGGAAAGTGGTTACCGTCGCCTATAGACATGAGCAGTACCGTGTACATAACGGAGTATACTGTTTCGCCCATGATACCCTGCATGCGTTGTCACGTGATTCCTTCATAGTGTTTGTACACTCCCCCGGCCTTGAACATACCCTAATTGCTAACCAGACCTGTCGCGAACTGTTTGTTTTATGGGTATGGAACCTAGTAGATTATTTATTGGTCGTATTATAAGAACCTTTAAATACGTACATTTACTTAAATTATACACAGTAATATTATATTTACTTCTTTTTTTTTTGTGTATTATTCAAAATGCCTATTTTATATAGAATAGGTGTCTTATATGAAATTCGGTTGTCTTTTACGTTATTAAACTATTTACAGTTAAGTTGCTTATTGATAATTTTATGATGAAACGTTAATTTTTATTAGGCATCCGATAGAAATTAGATACTTCAAGTGTTTTATGTTAACTGCTTGTAATGGGTTTACGCTTGTATGTGAAATGGACTCCATTTGTACCATATGCTAATATGTAACTATGAAATACTCTTTATATTAACTAAAAATCTTACAAATATAGCTTTTAAAGTTTATAAAAATGGTCTATAGGTTACGTTTATCGTTTTCCATCAGGCGGGCCGTCAGTTCGTCAATTTAAATTGCATAAAAGTGTTTAATATCGGAATTTACTGGGTACAGAGGAATAACACCTGAGTCCTCAGGAATGGCAACGCATGGGGGGTATCATGGGCGAAACAGTACACTCTGTTATGTCCATGGTACTGCTCATGTCTATAGGCGACGGTTACCACTTTCCATCAGGTGGGCCGTCAGCTTGTTGGCCATTCTAAGTTGTATAAAAGAAAAAAAAAATTCGGAACAAGATTTGATCGCGTACAGATGGTAGAGTTTGCTTACCGATACGTAGTGTTTACCCATTTTACAATATATTTTTCGAAGCTAGCAACATTACGGTGATAAAGCATTGCATGTAGAAGGTACACTCCCTAATAATTGTTCCGTATTCCCAGTAAAGTTTATCCTAACAAGCTAACCGGCCATTCCATGCGAGCGACCCATTATAACAGTAACGGCGAGTCCAGGCCAACTCCGCTGCCTGTTTCAAAAAACCAGAGGGCCTACCATGAAGTATTTTCCGAAATTTCGGGGACGAACGAAACAGAAATTTGATGTTAAAATTACATAATACATGCCGTTTAAAATGATTAAAAAGGTTAAAATATCGTTCCTTTGGACTAATTTAGAATAGGATTTATGACGAACGAAATGTTAAACTTCATTTACTGGGTCTATTTTAATACGAACAAAAACACGAAATTGAGTCCGAAATTTCGGAATTTCATTTCATGGTAGACCAGCAGATCTCAAAATTCGTACTGAACAAACTCGTGGACATATCTTAAAATATTTATACAACTTTCAAACATTGATCTAAATATTATTATACATTTATTAGCTAAAGTTTTCACATTAAGGAATTATTATTGTATGGTGCTAAGATGTATATTTTAATTTTTTTTTAATTTCCCTATACGGGTGATGTTCGCTTAAGAGCATAGACAATGTTACGGAATTGGAAACAAATTGGTAGCGCTACTGCTGAATTAGATAACTTGATTTAAATCTAAATAAGAATGCAGTATTTTTTTTAATATCTAATATAAATATATATAAAAAAAATCATATCGGTCTAACAAATGTTGTCCTAAGATGTAACATTATCTATGGTTTACCATAACCGCCCGATGTACCACGCTCACTTTTTTTTTTCACAATAATTGTTGTGACTAACACATACGGGTAATATCCAAATTGTCTTACTTTAAGAGTTAAAAATATTATCTATTGTTAAACTCACACTATGTCTTTGTTACTGGCAACACTCTCTCACTACAATCCGCGCACTAGGGTCTTAACTTTAATAAGTTCTTATTATGTACTAAATAAGGTTATTATAAAGTCGAATTAGCATCATGTTACTTGTATAGTTTGTCCCTAAGTCGTCTAAAAATGGCTATGCAGTACTTATACTTTAAACGAAGCATATCAAAAGGAAACTTATAGTATTTATCAAACAGGAGGATTCATAGAAAACTGCGACGGAATATGGATTCCTATTTTCCACCTTTGTCGTTTGGAAAAATAAAGATTTATAAATGTAAACTATCACAGAGAATTACAATTTGGTATCTTCATTTATTTGGCAGTTGTTTATTTATGTTCCAAAAATTTATCAGTGTATTGTTTAATTATTTTGTAGTAAAAAAGGCATAGACTATAGATGGGCTGTAAGCTTGTTTGGCACATGTATAAAAAAATTACGACTTCATTTTATATTCCAAATGATTCTTATTGTATTAAGACAAATATATTCCTACGATGTCCATGTTGTCATTAAAATACTTAAGTTTTCCACGAACACTAATGGTACTTACACATTTTCACAACTGGTAACACAGCAAGGCACGCCCATTTAATAATTGCATTCAAAATGGCTACCGCTAGGACAAGAGTGTGAGTTTTGAGGAAGCCCAGATTCTGACTTGAGAATTGTATGCTCAAATAGGTATTTACTTATAAATGTCGTAACTTATTGCACTGTAACAGACTAGATGGCGCTGTCAATATGTATTATTTTCGTTCAGCGTTCCATTTTTAAATTTTTACTTTTAAAATGCATTAAAAAGTACAGGTTACTTTTTCAATTGTCTTTTGTAGAGTATGTAATTTTGAATTAGTTTGATTAATTTGTACACAAACAAAACTGCGTTTTATTATTTGTAATAAAATTTTAAGTAATGCAAAATCTTTAAAGTTTTATATCATTTTTCTTTTCATTAGTATAGTTCAAACGATGGCCATATTTTCAATTCTGAATGTTACCTTACAACACCTAATTATTACTAAAGTATAATAATTTCTATTCAATCTTAGTATCAAATTTTGAAAAAAAAAAGCTAGTAAATGTTATCCGTTGGCCATACAATTCAATTTATAAGGTATAAATATGTCCATTATGTATTTTAAAGTTATTTGTAATCAAGATATAAAATGTATCCGATTGTAGACAATAAAATTACAAATTAAATACGTGGTTCAGTGTACACGAATAAGGCGTATCGACCATCGCGAGCTTTAATTTTGCATCATACTGAAACCATTCTCAATTCAGAAACCGGAAAACTGTAACCATTACACTGTTTGGATCATGCCTGTATTGTTATAACTGTAGATAGATAGGTAATTGTAATAAAATAACAAATTGCTGAGTGTACTCTCATAAGACTAACTTACCCATGTTGTATATTTTGAATATTAGGGCCTACACACGAGTCCGTCGTGTCGAGACTCGCAGAATCTCAATACAGCGCTCGATTATTTGTGAGTTTGTCGAATGGTAACATTTTATTTATATATAACATCATATTGTCTATGTATACATTAATAATTAATGAAAAAAGCATATGGCGTAAATAATATGTCTCTATCGAAGCATGTCTAACAATACAATAGAGGTCTCTATATATGTATATGGGGGAAATTTATGAATTTACTATGTTTCTTGTTTCCAATTATTGTGTCGACGTTATCTGGAAGTCTAGAAGGTGTACGGCGGCATGCGTCACATTGTCGCATTGTCGCTTCGTACTGAAGGCTGCAGCTCTCAAACGGAAAACTCAATTGTCGGAATCCGATAAACATAGTAAATTTATAATATATATATATATATATATATATATAATTCCTGTCACGGTGTTTGTTACCAAACTCCTCCAAAACGGCTTTACCGATTTTTATGAAATTTTGTGTGCATATATATATAATTTACTGTTTATCGTTTATATAGCATAGACAATGTTTAGATATAAATATATTGTTTGCGCCGTGTGTATCAAGACTTAATGTAGACATTATTCGATTAATTTTAAAGAGCTTTATAACTTTGAAGTGTATTCAACGTGTGTAATGTTTCTTTCGAATAAAACATACTGATATAGTGATATGCTAGAATTAATTTGTTACAAATTCGTGCCCTTTTTGGCAACCCTACATGTAAGGAGGGTCAGCATGAATGTCAACAAATTAATTGAGTAGCGACACTACTCGTATGTTCTGGGGGCACACAGGCCGCGTCACGTCTCGACTTGTAGGCTAGATTGTCAGGTTTTGTATATAAACAACAGTTTTTCAGTGTGTAAGCAATATTAGCATTTTAAATTTTCAAATAAAATCACTTTGTGAATAATATTTTTTTTTCTTATTTTACTTTTTCCCTCTTTTTTTTCGATGTTCGAAGAGTGAATAATCATAAAAGTCTTCGAATAGCAATTTTGTATAAGTAAACATAGTATAGAGAGACTCCTTACAAGTGTACCAATCCAGATGTGTTTTGGAGACATGTTGTTACTACTACTAGTGTGGGTGTCGCCCTCTGGTGTCAATTGGTTCTAGGCCTCGTTTGTTCTATACGGAGAACTAAGATCCCAGAAGAGCTAAGAATACTCGATCGTCGTATATATGGAGTCCTGTAACGCGATTTACCAAATGATGGCTCTGTCTACATGATTGTAATTTTCAGAATTAATTTATTCACTTTACTCATCCTGCCAGTCAGACGTAAACCGCGCTCATGAACAAGGGCTCCTATTGAGTTCGAAACTAGTCGGACGTCCCAGAATTTGAAATGTGTGTAAAGCGGACATTAATTACTGTAAATCCAAATATGATATTGAAAATTGAAAGGTTTACGTTTGGGATTAGATTTTGGAATACCCTAACCACGGGCAAGTAAGGCAGTTATCCAATTGTCACCTATCTCATGTGAAGGAATATAGTGATCAATCCATAATGGTGATTAATCTCCTACTGCCATTTCCATTTGGGACAATAAAACAAATGAGTGTCTAACATACTTATATTACAATGAAACGATACCTTGCAACTGTCACAATACTGTTCACTTGGGTATGAATTTGAGGAGCTTGACCTCGTGCGTGAGCCAGATGGCGAGCGTGAGGAGCGTGAGGGAGCCGGCCTGGTGGCTCGCGGCCAGCGGCGTCGGCACGTAGTGCAGCAGCGTCAGCACGCCCAGCGTCACCTGACAACCACCGCATCGATATTGAACCGTCTGACAATCAAAACTGGCCGTATCAATGTTGAATCAACACTATCAGACTGGTGTTTCCCAACGTGGGGCCCACGACCCATAGGGGGGGCAATTTGATAGTTAAAGGAGGGTCAATTAAAAAATGGTATCGAAGCAATTTTAACCCTCTTGCTCCGGACCATTTAAATGCAATGGTACAAGTAGATATCGGTGCAAATTTAACAAAAAAAAAAGTAAATAAAAAGAAAATTCTGTAAATATTTATTAGGTATAATTTCGTTTGACGTTACCAAAATAACCAAGTGGGCGATTAGAGTCGTCAAGTAAACTTTATCAGAATAATATATGTATGGGGACATAAAAAATTTTGAAATCAAGTGAGGCATGGCACAAAAAAGATTGGGAAACACTGATCTAGACAGAAAAAAATATTAAAACGATAGGGACAATAACGGACTATGGCCCATTAAATGAACATTTGTACACAATAGGAGCCACAGACAGTCCTCCGTGTCGAGGTTGTTTTGACGCCGAAGAAACGGTCGTTCACGTAATCCTGGAATGTGAAGCTGTTACCTTCACATTTATAATATTAGTTATGATTAATTATATTGTTATTGTAAAAGAGCGATTTACTACTCCTAAGAAGTATGGCGCCTAATGCAGCTACCAATAAATGTGTCCAATAAATAATTGACATCAAGTTTAGTATACATGTTCACTCTTAATTGACAATACTCAATTTTATAATTTTTCGATACTGGCAAGTTAAAATAATAATTCTAACTTGCCAGATTTGGTATATTGATAATAATGGGGCTTACCTCCTAATTACTAACAATTCCTTCCCCCTGGTCGTTCTACACTGTCCTACACTTCAAATACATTGCAGGGAGTTAGTGGATGCAGGTGGTTCAGGACCGTTCCTTATGGTGATCTATAGGGGAGGTCTATGTCCAGCAGTGGACGGATAATGACTGAAATGATGACAATGAAACGTTAGTAGTGGGGCAGCATACCCTACAGCCTCAATGGTAGCGTACAGCGCGGTTTCAGAGATGTTTACTCCCACGAACACTGGTTATGGAATGAGCTACCTGCTGACGTTTTCTTAAGAGACTACAGCATGGGTTCTTCAAATGGGGGGTAAAGAGGTTTCTTCAGGGTCGGCAACGCACGCGTAATACCTCTGGTATTGCAGGTGTTCATAGGCTACGGTATCCATTTACCTTCAGGTGGGCCGTATGCTTGTTTGCCACCTCAGTGATATAAAAAAAGCATACCTGCAGCCAAGCCATGGCGCCGACGGCGGCGGCGACGCGAGCGGCCGGCGCGGACAGCGGAGCCTTGCGTGCACGCAGCCACAGCAGCGACGCGGCCGCCAGCGTCGCGGTGCCCAGCACGCGGTGGTCGAACTGCACCGTCGTGGGGTTCTCTGTGAGGTTGCGTAGCGTCGGGCTCAACGCGAGGATGTCTTCGGGCACCCAGTGGTCGCCCATCTTGGGGAACGAGTTGTACACGAGCCCCGCGTCTAGGCCCGCCACGAATGCTCCTGGAGACCGCAGCGATGGAAGAAATTATTACCAAGTTATTGTATTCATGTTTCATATATGATGATATTAGCTATTAACTGTCCACTACTGAATACCAGCCTGTCCCTTAGGGGGTTTTGCCAGTGGTTGCCATGTTTGGCAAATGGATTGGCAACAGCAGTTAGACATTTATGATGTTTTAAGAGGGATGCTGCTTTCCATACTTTGACCGTTGAGTTCCATAGTCGCCTCTTATGACACCATGGGAAAGGAAGGTGTGGCCTATTCTATGCCGGGACTACACTACCAATGTGTATGTATACTGTGACATAAAACAGTACTATTGTGATGTCCATATACCATTTATGTATTTTACAGTAAGAGAAATATACCATTTTCAACCAACTTTAATAAGAAAGAAGTTCTCAATTCGGGTGTATTTTTTTGATTGATTGCCATTCTAAGTTATATAAAAAAAAAGTTGTCAACCGACTTGTAAAATTACTTTTTTATCACGAAGGATATACTTACAGATTGGTGCTTTAGTAATAAAAATTAAAATCTGCTCAATATTTTGATTTTGAAATCAAAGTAATGGGTTTTGTCCTTGCCACATATATATATATATATATATATATATATATATATATATATATATATATATATATATATATATATATATATATATATATATATATATATATATATATATATATATATATATATATATATATATATAAATAATTTTTTTGTGGAACATGTTTTTGCATTTAATGCATCAAATAGACTGTCAGCTTGTTTGCTGTTTAATGTATCATAAAAAATGATTTTTCCAAAAACCAAACAATAATCGTGATCCATTTAAATAAAATAATACAGGAATACACCTCAAATAAAAAATCAAACTTGGTGCAACATTAAACATGAAGATATTAGAAGCACACAAAACAAGACCCTTTTAAAGTTCGTTAAAAAGTCAATACCTTATTAGAAGACACACCTGAAAGAGCTGTGAAAAACGCTAAAGCCTTAACACTGTGTGCTAGGATGGTGACGCTCTTCAGTTCCTTGACGCCCTTGCGCAGGACGGCGAGCGGCGGCTGCGGCCGCAGCACCCGCAGCGCGCCGCCCAGCAGCGCCGCGTACAGCACGAACGCCAGCCCCAGGTGCGCCGCCAGCCGGTACTGCGACACGCGCGGCACGTCCGCCGGGCCTTGGAAGCGGTCCTCCAGCCCCGACTTCACCATGTACCATCCCATCAGGCCCTGCGCACGAAATCACAGTATTTGCTCGTTTGTCCGTAAACATATTGGATTATTTGTCTAATAAAATCCACAAATACAGGTCAAAGACTTCGAAATAAATTAGAATTACCGACACAGAGACAAATTATTATTGCATGGCTATTAAAATATACAATAACTTGTCTAATAATATTAAAAGATTGATCAACACGTCAGAGGGAAACTTTGTACAAAAGTCGTCTGCTTGGGCACCTCTGTCTCATTCGTGTTTCTACCGTGAAGCAAGTTGTGTTTGTATGACTGTGTTTTGGTCTGAAGTGTGAGACATGGTAGTGAATTTACAGGGTTTACCTTTGACACCATCAAGGGGAGGCCGTGCCCATCTCAGAATGGTCCGGTTCCCATCCCAAAATTGTTCGGTTCCCATCCCAGAATTGTTCAGTGCCTGTCCCAGAATTGTCCAATACCCGTTCCGGAATTATTTGATGCTCATCCCAGAATTATCCGGTTCCTGTCGTAGAATTGTCTATTGCCCGTCCCAGAATTGTCCGATGCCCGTCACAGAATTGTCTAGAATCTGTCCCAAAATTGTTCAGAGTCTGTCCCAGAATAGTCTAGTATCCGTCCCACAATTGTCCAGTGTCTGTCCAAAATTGATCGGTGTTCATTTCAGTATTGTCCGGTGCCCATCCCAGAATTGTCCAATGCCCGTCCCTGAGTTATCCGATGCCCATCCCAGAATTGTCCAATGCCCGTCCCTGAGTTATCCGGTGCCCATCCCAGAATTGTCCGATGCCCTATCCAGAATTGTCTAGTGCTCAACCCAGATGCAATCAGAGCTTTGTAAAAACACGTCTAAGATACATACGTGCCTTATTTAAGGGCCAGGGTTTTTCCTAGAAGATACTGCCAAATAATTCAATACTTGACAGTAGAGGTTGCCCCTACTGCTGCCACCCACCTGCGCAGCGACGAGCGTGCAGTAGACGGCGACGCGTATCTTCATGCCGCGGTCGAGGCAGCCACGCAGCCAGAAGCCGGCGGCCGGCAGCAGCACGGCTGCGCCGATGGCTCTGCCCCACGTGCGATGCGCGAATTCCATGAACCAGATCCACTTGAACTCCGACAGTGTTATGTGCTGGTTTTTGCTGGAGACAATTGGAACAATAGGGGGGGGGGAAGGGATTGTTAGTAATGGGTCTAATTGACCCATTGCTAGCAATACACCCTGTCAGGTCGACCTCCACACAGTTGATAACCGTCGTGGTTAATTCTAGTGGAATTCATTACGATGGGCTAACTGATCTGCTTTCATCGTCACCTATCATCTCTCACTGGTGCCCCACCGGTGTATACCGATAGCACAGGCGGGGTTACCATTCCATTATCACCTAATAAAAAAAATTGGGACAATAGGTATGTTGCAAGTGGTAATTCGGGTGTGATAATGTAAATTTGAAATGTTAGAAACATGAAATTTTTAATATAAATAGCTCGGTTGCTTCCTCCTGTAGACTCTCAAGTTGTGGAAATCAAGAGACTACAGCTAAAATATTCAATAAAGAAGTAGAGGTTTGTACAGGCCATCCATGCGCACTCATTGCTTGAAAACACAGTATGTTAGAAAATATTTTTTTTACTACTAAGAATGGCAAACAAGCTGACGGGCCCACCTGATGAAAAGTGGTAACCGCCGCCTATAGACACGAGCAGTACCATGGACATAACAGAGTATACTGTTTCGTCCATGATACCCCTATGCGTTGCCATTCCTGAGGACTCAGGTGTTATTTCTCTGTACCCCGTGAATTCACGCCATATCCCACCCTTCAAACCGAAACACAGCCATGCAAACACAACTGCTTCACGGTTGAAACACGAATGGGACAGAGGTACCCAAGCAATCGACTTTGCTTGGGTATCTCTTGTATTGCGTCTAAAAACTATGGTAACCGTCAAGTAGGCTTGTTTATTAACTCAGCGCTGGTATCCATAGAGCATGGGAACTGTTTTGTCGACTTACACCTACTGTTTTCCTACATAAAAGTTGGAAGAGCAAAAGTTCCATGAATATAGTATTCAATACATACTATTTGAACTCCGGGTATTGCTGGTATTTCTCGAACTCCCTCTGCCACTCGTCCTCGGACCTGGGCATCTTCTCTCCTAGCAGTTTCCACGTGACCATCGAGAGGCCGGACTCCGTCAGCCTTGTCACACCACCTGGTTGTATTATAGGTGCTCTCTTAAAAGAAGGAAGTCAATTAGATACATGCAAAGAACAAAGGCCGTGGCAGTGTGGTCCCGGCATGGAATAAGCCACCCTTTACTATCCGGTAAGCGTCTTAAGAGGTGACTCAGAGAGGGAGAGGAATGGGCAGCAGCGTTTCATTTAAAACATCTCTAAAGCCTGACTGCGGTTGCCAATCCGCCTACTAAGTGTGGCAACTACTGGCAGGACCCCCAAGGGAGGCTTATGATGATGGAAGAACAATATATTTGCCATTCTAAGTTGTATAAAAAAAAATATATTAGCAATTAAGTAAAACAAAAGTAGAAATAGCAGTATAGAAAGGTTATATGTTCCTATGTTCTTCGGCTTGAAGTAAACACGGATTCCTTCATTCATAAAAATTTAAACGTCCTACAAATTTATTTTCACTATTACAGTGTTCTCTCACAGTCTTTCAAATTGGGAATTTTGCGTAAAAGAAAAAGACAAAAATACTGTAATAGCTAAAATTGATATTCAATGAAATATTTGACGTTTTTACAAGGCGATAATAATACTTGCTACATAGAAGGAATAAGCTGTAGAGAAGTTAGGAGATAGCTTCTGAAAATGTTCTGTACTTTCCGCCTAGAGTATCGGAGTACTAAGACAATATGCATATATACTCGTATATGTGCATATATGTATATATAACCTTTCTTAATTGTCTTACTTATTTCCTATATTGTATAATGCAAACAAAGTATTGTCTGTCATTCAACATGGCCAGTGGAATTTCTGTCACGAAAGATTCGTTCTTAGGAGTTGATATATTCGAAGGATGCTTCGGGAGGAAACATCTTTGAAGTCTATGGCTTTGTTCCTGTCTATGGGTAACATTTACCATTTATCCATAAAACAGGCCATCTCGTTTACCATCGCCAGTAGAATTTGATGTGTTTAGTAACAAATATGTATTTCTATATGCATTTAATAATCACAATTAACACCGTTTACCATTAGACGAGCCGTATGCTTATTTTTCACTATAGTACTTAGTATAAAAAAAATGTTTGCATGGCTGTGTTTCGATTTGAAGGGTGGGATATGGCGTGGATTTACTGGGTACAGAGGAATAATATCTGAGTGCTCAGGAATGGCAACGCATGGGGGGTATCATGGGCGAAACAGTATACTCTGTTATGTCCATAGTACTGCTCATGTCGATAGGTGACGGTTACCACTTTCTATCAGATGAACCGTCAGCTTGTTTACCATTCTAAGTTGTATAAAAAATTTATAATAAACTTGTCTGGCCCATAGATGGACTGCTAATATAACAAAATTTTGTATTTATTGTACGACTTGAAGACGATCATTTAGAAAAAAAAACTACCTACATACCTACTTCTTTGTATAAATAACATTTTTCAATACATAAACTGTAATTTCTCGTATTGGGAACCTTAAACGAATCATGTTCTAAAATCTTCTACGATTCCTCGTCATTTACTTTGGCCGTGTGGTCCCGGCATTGAATAGACCACCCCTTCCTTTCCCGTGGGTGTCGTAAGAGGCGACTAAGGGAGGGCGAGGGATGGGCAGCGGCGTCCCTCTTAAAACATCTCTAAAACCTAATTGCGGTTGCCAACCCGCCTGCCAAGCGTGGCAACTACTGGCAAAACCCTCCAAGGGGAGGCTTATGTTCAGCAGTGGACAGTTAAAGGCTGATATGACGAAGTAGATTTACTTACCTTATTTATATAATAACTTTCGAGTGTCGGTTTGATTCATTGAGGGTTTTTTTATGGGTGATAATGGAATGGTAACCCCACCCGCGCTATCGGTATACACCGGCGGGCACCAGTGAAGGATGATAGATGAGGATGAAGCAGGTCAGTTAGCCCATCGTGACGAATTCAACAAGAATTGTTCAAGATGGTTTCCAGGGGGAAGCACGTGGAGGTCGACCTAATAGGGCATATTGCTAGCAATGGGGTTTTTAAACTCCATTGCTAACAATCCCTTTCCCCTTAGTTCCCTGAGGGTTCGATTCGCAAGTATGCATCATTGCATCAGTAAAAGCATTTGACAACAATGGAATATTTGCCGCTCCCAATTTTGATTCAAAATTTAAAAAGTTACACAAATACTATGGGCGTCACATTATATTCTGCGATAACAATCGTTTGTTAAGATAGTTGGTCACTAAACAAAAGACACGAAACACTAGATGGCGTTAATATCGAGACTCGTGGTGTTTGTGGATTACTTTATAATTAAAGATAACTTGAAGTAAAACTTCTAAATTAGAGAGCGGTTTTTATTATTATGTATGAATGTGAAATGGCAGATAATACGCGATCTTTTCCTAAATGAATTATAACCCACACAATCTCAATGTTTCTTACTAGTATGTTGTTTTTCACAAAATTATACAATACAAGAGAACAAAGACAAAAATTATAACAATATATTACTGTATCGGTAAATAATAAATAAAACCACTTTAACTGCCAATTTAGAAATATCAAATTACCTTTAATTTCAAAATAATCAACAAAAACCACGAGTCTCGATACTAACGCCATCTAGTGTTTCGTGTACAATTTTGTTTAATGACCAACTACTTTTAAGTTACTATGTCACGAAAAGAAACAACATAGTATAAAAAACATTATTTATTGCATTATATACAATCAACCGTTATAGAAACTAAATATTTAATACATAATAACTTAAATAAATTAGCTGTCTAGTTATTTAAAAATGTAAAAAAAAAATTATGTCTTTTTTTTTAATAAATCAACTAAGACCCACCCATATACTATGTATAATAATAACTTTTCTATATCAGGTGTAACAGAATGGGTATACAGCAAATCAGGGATAGTATTTGTGGATTTGGACGACTTCCCCCAACGAACATACGTCCATACTACAAGTACATTTTTTACAAAAAAAAAAACTTCTTACAGCTTCAAAAAATTAATACTGACTAGTAACCCCATTGTTTATATTTAAAAAATGAACTAAATGTACCGCTGGACTGCGACGTGGTTTATAGCTGCGAAGTAGCTAGGCGTGGGCGAAGTGGACCCTCGCCCATGGCCTCGCTCTTGAAGGGCTCTCACGAGACCTCTTTAAATGCGATGCCACCAAACTTAAAATGCCCTTTTATTATAAAAAAAATTATAAAAACTTAAAAAATATTTGTCACACTCGTCACTTTTTTTATATAAAATTAAATAACTCAAGTTACAAAATAAAACCTTGTTACAAATCTATATGCTTTACAATATTAATCCCACTGCGTATTTATATTTTTTCACTATCATAAGTAGGTAGGTACGTCGTGTGGAAGCATGTTTGATGGGGTTTACCCCAATCACTTGCTTGGAGTTTACGCCCATCACCCCCATCATTGCTTCTACACTTTATCAATTGCAAAATGATGTTAATTAATAAACACGGTTCCAAATTAATAATTCATAATCTCGGAATGTTATAATAGGAGAGCCTATTGAACGGTAAGCCTTTTTTAATCTTTTAACATATATTAGAACTAAAATAAATAAAATATAAAATAAACTGAGTTGTGACCATTTTGTGTTACTGTGGCACACTCAAGAAAAATTATGATACCTCTTTTACGTAATTCCCTTTTGTTTTTTTTTTGTATATGTTTTGTTTTATTTCCTTTTTTAGGTATGTTATTACTAAATACTAATATTATTTGTGTGTTGCAAGTGATGCAAATAAATTATATATCTGTCTGTCTAACTACTCCCTAATTAAAGTGAAAATTACAAAAATTTTTTTTTACATTAATGGTAATCCCGAGGTTATGAGGTAAATAAATTGGTTCATATTTCGACTCGTGTCGCTTGGGAAGGCTTGTTCTATTTTAAAAATATAATTATCAGAATGCTGATTATTGTTATTTTCTCTGTTACACCTGTCCCCGAGTGGCAAACGCACTTATCAGCAAATACGCATACGTCACTGCGAGAATGAGAAGTTTTATCTCAAGCATGCGGCAGCGATAACATATCTATCGATAAATACGTCGCGGAGGACCAAATAGATAATTGCAACGTAAAAGTTCGAGTATTTGCGATCAACCCGTCGTCGGGCGGTTTATGTCACACTTCGGTGCGAAGACTAATAACATGAAGTTGGCAACTATTTGCCGCCATTGGTAGTGGTCAGTACCAACCTAACGATGTAATATATACTGTAGAGAAGTATCAAGTAGCCTGCGACCATACCTAGTACGACGGCTGTGAACACCATGCCACTGCAGCCGAGCAGCCAGTAGCCCACCACTTTTGGTGTCTTCGGCTTCGGAGCACTGGAGCAAAACCTCGCGACGATGCCGTTTGACTTGATTATTTCATTTATCTGTGAAAATATAAGCAAATATGTTAATTACTGTGTTATTAGTATAAGTATGTGTGTCTGTATGTATATGTATGTGTATATATGCATATCTGTGTATATGTATGTATAAAGATATAAGTTTAGTATATAGGACTAAGATATAAGTTTATAATTGTTTAAAAAGCTGTATGTACAATGAGCACAAAGCTGCAGACAAACTGCAATGCAGTTTCGCAGCACTAAGTATATATACTGTCTATGTACTTTTGTCTGTTTACTTGAAATAAATAAATAAAATACAGTATAGAATCTAATATGTAAAATATATGACATCAGATTATCAGTCTAAAGTCTGAGTATAAACAAATATTGTTTTTTTCTTATATTGCAAATACTCATTGGATTTTTTTATTAATTTATCACAAAAAGTCACAAATATAAAAATTAAAAGCACTTCCATATCATCATTTCAGCCGTTAACTGTCCACTATTGAACATAAGCCTTCTCCATAAGGGGAGTTTTGCCAGTAGTTGCCACGCTTGGCAGGTGGGATTGGCAACCGCAGTTAGGCTTTTAAAAATGTTTTAAGAGGGATGCTGATGCCTATTCCTCTATAATTACCATACCATTCATATAATTGGCAATAATCGCAAAAAAAAATGTTTTTCTAATTCATATTATACCCAATTACATTTGTGGCTAAATATTAAGGTGGCCCGAAGGAGAAGCAAGCTGAAGTGGCAATGAGCTGATCACATAACTCGAAGAACTGACAACCAATGGGGAAGAAAGGTTCTTGAGTGGGAATCTCGTATAGATAAATACAGTATAGGACGACTCCCCACTAGATGGAATGAGGCATTTAAATGCATTGGAGGGAGTTAGTGGATGCAGATGGCTCAGGACCGTTCCTTATGTATTAGATATTCCATATCATTATTTTTTCTCAAACATGCTTGGAAATGTGAGCATTATTTTGACAATCTTCTTAGAGATAAATCAAAATTGCCATACTGGCCAGACACAGGCCGGCAAAAGTTGTATGAAAATCCATATCTGTTGTGTTTTGCGGCCAGATAAATTACTATGTAAACTCATATCTGTCCTGTAATTTAAAAATGGAATGACCTTTTACTTCGAAACATGGCTACCAAGGAGGTAACTAATAAAAGGTTTTATTTAAATTTCGAACTGGCTTGCAAATAGAAAGCTATTTATTGAAAAAAAAACAAAGGAATATTATGGCGCGTAAAAAAATATTATTGTTCGTTATTCGTCATTGAACTTAAAAAGTAAAATTGTGTTTTTGATTTCCGCGCATTGTTTGATTAAATATAGTACATACAAGCCTTGGCCACAACTAGGCATTGATGGACTTATGTATGTGTGCCTCGTCTACGCCTTGACCCACATTTACACGTTCATCCATCAATGCCTCAGTTGCTGGCCGCTGCAGTAATGTACTATATATGTTTTGTTTGTTTGTAACACTTTATTGTGCAGTCTTAAATTATAGGGTACAGATTACTTAAGAAAATGAATACAATGGTGGACTTATTGCATAAAAGGGATCTCTTCCAGTCAACTTTAGAATATTTGATATAAATTGTGAATTAAGTATTTATTTTTTATTTATGATTTGAGTATTTTATATATATAAAATATGACTGGTTGTTAAGTCTTATAAAAAATAAACCATGTTGTATGCTGTTTTGTATATTTAATAAATAAATAAATTGGCAACCAAACACATGTATACTTAATTAAATAAATAAATAAAATATACATAGTTATAACCATTGCATTAATTACTAATTAATAAAAATATTAATTATAATAGCATGTCCACTTACCCTTAGACCCTTATAACCTATTCTGGAATTGCCGCATCTTGTGGAAGTAATCAACTGTCTTGTGAGCAGGCTGCTATTGGTACCACTCCTATTCCCCACCAGCAACCAGGAGGGTGCAGTTTTCAATGGCCGAGTGCACCGGCACAATTGTGACACTAACATTTCTGGAATAAGCAACAACACTAATTTATTAAGGTAAAAATGAGTTTATTTGTCTGTTACCTCTTGAAACTCTTACTTGCAATATGACAATTGGTATCATTGCATAATGTGTCTGTAATCTGTATTTTTTTTAATGGACGACAACAGAATGGTAATCCCGCCAGCGCTAATGGTATATGCTGGTGGAGCACCAGTGAGGGATGATAGGTGACGATGAAAAGGCAGGTCAGTTAGCCCACCGTACAAATAGAACAGGAACTCAGCATGATGACTTCCAGGGGGACTATGTGGAGGTCGGTCTGACAGGGTATATTACTAGCAATGGTACTGGTAGTCCGCATTATTGACAATGCTTTACATTAGGTTTGGATTAAAATAATTAATATAATAAACTACTAAGTAAATACTAGGGTACTTAGTAGTTTACAGTACATTTTATACATATGTAGTACAGCAGATTTTATAAACATAACATCCTGTAAAAGTTTGTACTTAATTCGTTTTTATTTTCCGTTTTAAATTTGTTGATTAGAATTATTTAGTTTAATTCTGCTAAACATACAACATTTAAAAAAAATAAGATTTAAATATTTTTTTTTCTTTAATCTCTTTGATATTGGGCACTGGGAATAATTTACAATATAATCTGCCCTAAATTAACGCTACTACCGGCCGGCGGATAATATAATGTACGCATGTCTATGGTTTGAATGTTGAGATATGAATTTAATTTCATTTTGATACCTCTTCTTACTTCGAGAGGGTACTCATTGACTGAATATTGCAGGAATGTTTAAAAATTAGAATTTCATAACTTTTGCGTCTAAAAAAATATGCTACCGAAAACTACTTACTTGGTTAAAATTAATTCTTGGAGTAACGTTTAATACAAGTACGAATTTAATTCTTCACAAATAAATGTTCGGTATTTCATATTACGTAAAATGCATTTTTGTACTGTAATTATTGTATATAATAATTTTGTTAACGTAATAAAATATAGGAATCGAACCAATATCAATGAACGAAAATGTACGATTTTTGACATAACAGTACAAAATTCCCTGACATATCAAATTCAAATTGTCAATGTCTATTTATCGAATTCACTGTACATAAGTACAGAGTACGCTTCGAGCATTACTGTGTACTGACATGGATAGACCTGAAATACCCATGAATTTACTTTAAATATTTTTGTAATAATATGTGTAATATTAGTTTTAAATTTACGTAGAATTAAAATCAATACTTGCGTTAAAATGATGTACCAGGCAAATAATTTCTGACTGTGTCGATATACCTAGGTACATAGATTAAGTATAATAGGTATCTTAGGTATAATTATAGTTATAAACGAGCTTTGTAGACAATTGAATAGTAAATTCATAAAAAGTCTTTTATTGTCTCTGACGTAATACCGATTACCAACTAAAAGTGACTCTATTACTCTAATGTATACGAACTCTTTGCGGTTCCCCCTGGAAACCATCGTGTTAAATTCCAAGTCAATTCATTACGATGGGCTTATCATCTTTTACTGGTGCCCCGCCAACATAAACCGTTTTTTTTAATGGATGATAATGGAATGGTAACCCCATCCGCGCTATCTGTATACACCGGTGGGGCACCAGTGAAGGATGATAGGTGAGGATAAAATAGGTCAGTTAGCCCATCGTGACGAATTCAACAAGAATTGTTCACGATGGTTTCCAGGGGGAACCACGTGGAAGTCAACCTAATAGGGCATATTGCTAGCAATAGGGCTGTCAAACTCCATTACTAACAATCCCTTTCCCCCCAATATAAACCGTTAGCACAGGCGGGATTATTATTTTATTACCATTTATTAAAAAAAAAATCACTCATGATTCACTATCATAGAATAAAAAATGTTTTCAATATATTGTACAATAGTACATCTAAGTTAATTGCCTTTTTTATCTATAACAATATGTCCATTAATATTAATTCTAGAGTCCTTTAAAACCCAACGTATGTAATTACTTACTCCTAGTAATAGTAACTGCTGTACATAAGTACATAATAGACATTTACAAAAATAATATTTCGTTGCTATAAACATTTATTCCATGCACGTTATCTAAGTTAAAAATGAATAATTCGCTAGATAAATTCAAATTGTAGTGAAAATAATGTAACTTCACAAAATTGATTATCACTTAAATTTAGTCTTCCATCTCTTTGTAATCGTTCGACAAAGCTTTTATGTTTTGAAGTGCATTCTTAAATTCGCCTTCTTCTAAACCTTCGCCGACGTAATGATGGACGAATGCGCGTTTTGCGTACATTAGAGAGAATTTTTTGCAAAGACTCTCCCATGCGCCTCTCACTGCCGAGTTGTTCGAAACCATAACAACAGAGCGCTGTAAGGCGGCTAAGTCACCACCTGGTACTGTCGTCGGTGGCTGATAGTTTACGCCAATCTGTACATTTTAAAGATATTTAAAATAGGTACATATCTTAGTACACATGTATATTGAGAATTTGAGATACCGCTAATAACACTGAAGCGCTGTACTCTTCTGCAGCTCTCTACAAGCCTTTTTTAAATAATTTTTACACAATGTAATGCAACCACATGACTGATGTGCTTTCATATGCGCCCTGTGTCATCTCTTACGGCCAGTAATGGGTTGTCCCTCGAATTGGGGACCGGTAGACGGTAGAGGTCGGCAGTTCGGAGGCCGACCACATACTCATTTGTTGCAGTATCCGGCCGTTCATTTACCTTCCTCATGCTCCTCAAATATTGCTTCTAAATTACTATTGAACACATCATGTACCCTCTTGTATAGGCATTACGTCACCCGTATCCAATAGCGAGGACAGGATGCCTTAAATATTGTACCGTAAACCATAAAAAAAGTGCCGCGGAAGATAATACTGAAATGTTTGAAGATCATTCTATGCTCCAAGTTGAAGTTAGTTATTACTTATTATTATATCAGCCATTAATTGCCCACTGCTGATTACAGAGCTCTCCTTTAGGGGATTTTGCCAGTAGTAGCCACGTTTGGCAGGTGGATTAGCAACCGCAGTCAGGCTTTGGTGATATTTTAAGAAGGACGCTGCTGCCCATCACTTAACCTTTAAGTTCCCTTAGTCGCTCTTACGACACTCACGGGGAAAAAAAGGGTGGCATATTCTATACCGGGAATACACGGCAATAGTGAAGCTAGTAAGTCAGCTATGAATTAACTAGCTTGAAGAACTAATAACTAAGGCAAAAAACTTTTTCGAATCCCGGAAAAGTCAGTTCTTACAGCAATATATTATGTTATGTTGGGCCAACTGGGTTAATCGATGCAGCTAAGATTCTTGAGGTGTTTCGTTTCCTTTATATTTATCCTTAAAAATTACCTTAAATCCAGTAGGTGACCAGGACACAAACTTTATAGATCTCATACTTTTAATTTGGGTAATGGCACTGTTTATGTCATTCTGATTGATGTCCCCTCGGAACAGCAGACAGCAGGACATGTAACTCCCTTGTCTCGGGTCACACTTGATCATCTGATTCGATGGTTCGAAGCAGGACATCATCAGTTGCTGAGTTGTTAACGTCTCATGAAACGCTCGGGTCGGAGGTACGAACGGAGAAAAGGTCACGAGCGGAAAGTGAATCCTCGGGTACGGTATCAAGTTTGTTCTGAATTCGACCAATTCCACGTTTAACGAACCTTCGAATCTAAGAGACGCTGTCATACATGATACTACCTGCAATAACATGTGAGTTCATATTGCAGACTGATGGAATCAATTACCTACTTACATTTATTAAATAACCATAGAAATAAAACCTATTGATTAATTTATATTTCACCTTATGACCTAGTTGATTATGACTGTACAGTCACGCTTATTATCATAGAGGGATATAAACAGCATTATCATTTTACATTATTGTTTACTGTTGAAGCTTAGTTTTTTTTTAAATTATTACATACTTCTCTATTCTCCGGTGTATCCAATTTCAGCTTTCATTTCAACCTCAGTGGCATTGTTGTCTGCACTGTTGGGTATTAATATTCAATAAAGCTATATCTACGATACATTTTATGGCCATGAAATTGGTACATAGTTCTTATACCTGAATATATATCTTCACGCCAAGTACAATTTTGATTTTCATTGTTACAGGGATAGACAGTGAGAGCCGAGTGAAGAAGATATCTGGCCTAACTCAATATTTATTTTTATCTAATTAAAACTCTTGTCTCATACATACGGGCCGGTTTAGAAAATTTTCAACACTTTCATCAGACGGTACAAGGTATAATTGGATCAATAGACTTCTCCACATCCTTCCATTTTCGCGTTAAAATTAAAGAGTAGAATTTGTTACCTGAGCAATGAGTCTGTTCAAATTAGTGTAGGTTGGCCTTGGAACGTCCAGCATCCTAGCTAAGATATCGTAAAGGGCTTCATTGTCAAATATAAAGCAAATGTCTTCTGTATTCATACAAGCATGTGTAGTTAGTACGGCATTGTATGGTTCAACGATGATGGGTGATATTTTTGGCGCGGGGTATATTGCAAATTCTATTTTGGATAATTTCCCATAGTCATTCGCAAGGCCTTCCAAAAGGAGGGCGGTAAAGCCCGAGCCAGTTCCACCGCCAAAAGATCGAAAGATTATGAATCCCTGGAGGCAGCTACAGTCTTCAGCAGCGATTCTGATGCGGTTGAGGGCTAAATCGATCATTTCTCGGCCCACCCCAAAGTAACCTCGGGCGAAGTTACTGGCCGCATCTTCCTTGCCAGTTAGCAAAGAGGTTGGATGGAACAGTTCTCGGTATGTGCCTGTGCTTATTTCGTCTATAAGAACAATATTATAAAATAAAAATATGTTCAAGACAGTAATGCAAAGGGGTAGTCGGCTACACTAGTAGGCACACGGCTAGCCTCGGCTACACCTCGGCCCACATTTGCACGTTCGTCCATCAATGCCTCAGTTGCTTGCCGCTGCAGTAATGTACTATTGTTTATAATTAAATATTGTAGGCATCTTTTGTACTAAGAGTGTATAACAATAATTACTCGTATGTACTGGTCCAAAAAATATTATTGGATAACAGATTTTTAAGATATTCGAGAATAGATATCCGATCGATATGGGTGATATTGAAATCGGTGATGACCTTTTTACCGCCATCAATGTCCAGAGAAACCCAATATATAGATATCAGATCGGTATCCAGATTACGCATACCTATCTTCAACAGTAATTATAATAATTTAAAGATATCAGAGGTATAAAAAAAACTAGAACAATAGATTTTTTTTATACGACTTAGAATGGCAACTAAGCTGACGGCCCACCTGATGGAAAGTGGTAACCGTGGCCTATAAACATGAGCAGTACGATGGACATAACAGTACACACACACATACTGTTTCGCCCATGATACCCCCCATGCGTTGCCATTCCTGAGGACTCAGGTGTTATTCCTCTGTACCCTGTAAATTCACGCCATATCCCACCCTTCAAATCGAAACACAACCATGCAAACATAACTGCTTTACGGTTGTAACGCGAATGGTACAGAGGTATCGAATCAATCGACTTTTGTGCAAAGTCTCCCTCTGGTAATGATATATGAAAAATAGGTACGTTGCTCTAAACTTGCCTATAGGGGTTGGCTCCAAATCAATCATCACAACCCTCGGGACGACTTTCCCAGCGCCTGTACTGCTGAAAAATGCACCAGTGCTGCCGTCATCGTTGGAGAAGGCGAGCATACCATCAGGTCGCGCGCCATGCTCTAGGCAGTATAGTTCCCAACACGCGTTAGCTATTTGCACTCCTGCTTGCCCGATATGGATGTGGATCACTTCCTTCTATAGAACAAATCGGTTGTCGATAAGTGGCGTTCCTAATGTAACATTTATTCCTCTGAATACTATAATAAACGTCTAGCAGTTCCTTCAAAGAAAGATTAAAATCATTCTATCTTTCCAATTTAGTTTAAATATAAAAATGATTAGAAGACTGTCATCATTGTGTTATATGTTGTATTTAACGTGTGTATGTATGTGTGTATATGTATGTGTATATATATATATATATGTATGTATGTATGTATGTGTGTGTATTTATATGTATATATATAATTATTTATAATTTATGTAAATATTTATTTAAATTTCTGTCTTGCACTACTACTGCTCACTCACTACTTCCTATGCCACTGCATTAGGTTGACTGGAAGAAATCTCTTTTAGAGATAAGTTTGCCTTTGCTGACATTGTTATTAACTTATTGTTTTTACTGTATGTTTTAGTGCAATAAAGAATATATATATATAAACTCACAATAGCCATTAAATGATTGAAATATTACGGATAATTTAAAACATTGTAAACATATTTTTTGCTTTTATCTATAACTAAACTACATGATTTATCAAAAAATGTATGAATACTTACGTATTGGATGTCAAAACCATGACGTTTATTGTTTATAAATCTATGTATTAATAATGAATTTAATTAGGTCATATAGGTATTTATTAAGTGGTCAGCTTTTGCCCATGGCTTTGTATGAGTCGATTTGGGAAGTAAGAAAATCAATGAAATATACCATTTAAGATTGGGGAGGGGGGGGGGGGAGATTGTTAGTAATGCAAACTGTCAGCCGCGTTGCTAGCAATGTATTCAGTCAGTTCGACCTCCACGTGGTCCTCCCTGGAAACCATCGTGCTGAATTCCAGATGTGTTCATCGCGATGAGCTAACTGACCTGCCTTTTGATTCTCACCTATTATCCCTCACTGGTGCCTCGCCAGTCTATACCGATAGCGCAGGCGGGGTTACCATTCCATTATCATGCATTAAAAAAAAACACTTAAGATTTTGACTAGATGGCGTATCAAAATATAAAATACAATATATTTTAGGTTCGACTTACAGGACTACATCTGTTAACCACATCCAATTCGATGTAGTAATTTAAATGTGATGCCAGAACAATCATACAGGATTTTTTTTCCAATTCACACAGACGAAGACGCGGGATACAGCTAGTGTTGAGTAAAATCTAATGAAAATGAGTCGGGCTGGACTAATATAATAAAAGAATAATAAATTTAATACATCAACCATTCCTTATAATTATCTACAAAATTATAATCTTTTATATTCCCTTATAAATAAATAAAATAATTCCTTGAGGGAATAGCAAGAACAAGAAAAATTAAAATGGATTTAAAATTTAGATGCATTATAAGAATACAAACACACTATGATCTTCTTCTTCTTTTTCTACTTCTTGCAGGGGAGGCCTATGTTCAGCAGTGGACAGTTTACGGTTTATATAATAACAATAAAAATGCACTATATCTGAGTTTTTTTTATACGACTTAGAATGGCAAACAAGCTGACGGCCCACCTGATGGAAAGTGGTAACCGTCGTCTATAGACATGAGCAGTACCATGGACATAACAGTACACACACATACTGTTTCGCCCATGATATCCCTCATGCGTTGCCATTCCTGAGGACCCAGGTGTTATTCCTCTGTACCCTGTAAATTCACGCCATATCCTACCCTTCAAACCGAAACACAGCCTTGCAAACACAACTGCTTCATGGTAGAAACACGAATGGGACAGCGGTACCCAAGCAATCGAGTTTTGTACAAAGTCTCCCTTTGGTTATACAAGTAGAGTATTTTTTATATTAATTACCACAGTCAAATAAAAAAAAAACAAACCTAGTACTGGATAAGTTATCACGCCAACAACAATCTTAACCTACAGTTATTTGGCTCTCCATAGATATGAATGATATAACATCACAAGGTCGTGCAAACAATACACACAGACATGTATTATATAAATATCGTTTGATAACTTCACACTGTTCAGTTACAGCGAGGCGTCTGATAGAAAACGTCACGATACAACAAAATGGACTTTTCCGGCAAAGTCGTTATATTAACTGGCGCTAGTTCTGGTATTGGTGCTTCAACAGCCGTATATTTAGCGAAACTAAAAGCCAAACTAACACTTGTGGGCAGAAATGTTAATAATTTGAAGAAAGTAGGCAAAGAGTGCGACAAGTACACTAATACCCTTTTGGTGACCGCCGATTTGACGAAAGAAGTTGACATCCAAAACATTATAAAGAGCACCGTCGATCAATACGGAAGAATCGATGTTCTGGTGAACAACGCGGGAATCTTAGAGATGGGAACGATCGAGAACACCTCACTGGAACAGTACGACCGGGTTATGAATACGAATGTCCGGTCGATATACTATTTAACTATACTGGCGACACCGCATATCATCAAGTCTAAAGGGAATATCGTCAATGTGTCCAGTGTAAATGGCATTAGATCTTTTCCCGGTGTTCTCGCTTACAACGTGTCTAAGGCAGCCGTCGACCAATTCACCAGGTGCGTGGCTTTAGAACTGGCCCCAAAAGGGGTGCGAGTGAACAATGTGAACCCTGGAGTTATTGTGAGCGAGCTGCAGAAGCGCGGTGGCTTGTCAGAGGAACAGTATCAGGCGTTTTTGACGAGAAGCAAAGAGACCCACGCCCTGGGTCGTCCAGGGCAGCCGGATGAAGTGGCAGCAGCGATCGCGTTCCTCGCTAGTGATTTAGCCAGCAATATCACAGGCGCGAGCCTGCCTGTTGACGGTGGACGGCACGCCATGTGTCCTCGTTAAACACTTTTACAAGATCTTCATGACAATTTAAATTCTAATATGTGCCATTAATTAAGTTATAATCTATAAGGATATGTTTCTTAAATTACATGCAATGAACACTCAGTTTAAAGTTATTGTAAAGTTGTTTTTATTTTAGACACAATCAATTGAGGCAACCTATAAATATATTAATACTATTTCAGTCCCTAATCTAAATCTTACATTTAATTATCACAATTACTATTTAAATCAACAACATAATAATAAGTAATGAAGCCTTCAAACAAATGACCAATAACAATACAATTAAGAAAGACTAATATGAACTATGTATAATAATTTAACTTTTTAATAAAGTGTTACTAACAAGCATTTATTAAACTGTTTTTTTTTTTAACTATAATACCTAATAGGCTATCAGGAACAACATCAGACCTCGTAATGTTCAAATAACTTAATGAATATTGAACATGCTTGACAGTACGGAGAAATTTCATAATTGTTTTCTAATTAACACGCTCTTTGGGCAACACTAACGACATCACAACAATACCTAAATACAGTGTTAGCTATGCAAATAGCGTTATTAAATATTAACATGTGAATAACGGCTAATACGTTATGTTAATGATATTTTACAATAACCGTTATTGTGCAACGTTACATAACTCATTGTCTATGGCAGCATGAGGTCCGCAGTTGGTACTTTACTGAAGAGTTTCTTGACTTCCTCGACGCAGGATTCGATGATTTGTTCGAAGGCGACCGGCGCAATGTCTCTTATCACAGGCTCCCAATTTTCGTTAATCACATTGTGGATTGTGTCTCCTGTAAAACAATATAGTTTTTTTTTATAATACCTATTATTCTGATAGCGATGATAATATTATAGGTTAGATTAAAGAGTTCAAGAGGTTAATAAGAAATATCTAGTACGAAATATTTAGTTGTAAAATATGATAATGCGAAGATAATTATGCAATAATGAATATGATTGTTAATGAACATGACTGTATAAATAAATATATATTTTATTCAAAGATAAAGTATGTAAATAAGCAATTTTTTAACTTGAAATGTGAAATAAAACGATTTTTATTTCGTTACAAAATTTTAAATTATTATATTATTTTATTTCGTACAAAGTGTAAATGATACATGTTAATTACAAAAATTAAAACAATGAACAATTGAATTAATTTATTTAATTTCAATTTGTTATTAATTTATTTATTTACATTTTAAATTAATTACAGTACTTAAATTTAATTATAAAATGAGTTTTATAATAAAATTTAAGTACTGTAATGTATAAAATATAATTACTTATATTTTATTATATAATAGTGTACTATAACATTGTTTAAATTATTATTATTATTAAATAATAAATATATTGAAATATAAACAAGCATTACCAGTTAGAAGGCATAAAAATAAGCCCCATAAAATAATCAATGCAACCGTTATAAAAAAATTTAAAACTGTTTATTTAAAATATAATAGCCGTTTATTAGTGATGTAAACGTTTATATTAGAATCGATAATATTGTTCTCGAAAGAAATCGAATTTAAATGCTAGACGAAAGTAGCAGTACGAAAGGGTATGTTCAAAGTCCCACCATTCAAGGGCGCAGTAGTTCCCTGGCGGGGATGGCTTGGAAGAATGTATTGACCACGTCCACACAGTTCTTGATGATGCTCTTGACGGCCGGCGGTGCGATCTCTTGCATTATGATCTCCCAGTTTTCATTCGTGAACCTGTGTGTGGTCTCGGCTGGAATGTTAAATGGTGCACATGTTTGTATGTTCCAAGAATGGGTTCGTTTGGGCTGCTTGATTAAATAAGTCAGTCGGAGAATTGTACATGCGTTACTTTTTTTTATTACAATGAGTACAGACTATTTAGGTGTGCATGTGTGTGTGTGCATGTGTGTATGTGTGTGTAGTATTACTATCATAATATGTATTTTTTTTATTGGATGAAAATGGAGTGGGATAATGGGATACGCTGGCGGGGCACCAGTGAAGGGTGTTCAATGAGGATGAAAACAGGCCAGTTAGCCCCATCATGATGAATTCGTCAGGAATTAATCATGATAGTTTCCAAGGGGAACCGCGAGGAGGTCGACCTGGTTGGGTATATTGCTAGCAATGGGATTCTTAGTCTCCATTACTAACAATCCCTTTTCCCCCCAGCATAACATGTATTATAATAGTGTGTACTAATATAATGTTGTTACTCTGATTTAATTTACTCGACTGTATGTGTAAGTATTTGCAGCGTCATGTGCATTAGTTAAATCTTGTTTTTATTTGTGTGCTTTTTGTCTTTAATGTTTCTATTTTTTTATTATGAATTTTTCAAGCTGCTGGTCTTTCTTTAATAAACAATAAAATAAATATTAAAGTAATTTAAGGCTTTGAAGTCGGACGACGAGAATTGACACCAATACAATACGATTAAATTACATACAAAATGAATATTTGTTGTTGTTGTTTTAAAATTCAAATTGGAGACGCAGAGCATAGCTTATACAGCCTAGTCATATGATTTTCGATTACGAATATTTGGTAGTTATATATATATATATATATATATATATATATATATATATATATATATATATATATATATATATATATATATTTTTTTTTTTTTTTTTTAATAATATAACTTATCGTGGCACAAGAACAGAAATTCCAATATCTTTGGTGTTGATCCACTTTCTGTGATGTGCCTAGCCTAGATGGGTAGAGTGTTGGTGCGGTAATTGTTATTCTGGTCGGCGCGTGAACACTGTAGTAGGTACTTACCAAGTGCCTTGTTGCCGTTGAACAAGTTGTTGAGCTTGAAATGCGCCCTGTCCATGCTGTAGTTGTCCTTGTAACTGGTCACCAGCCAGTGCCCGTCCTTCGTGTCAAAGTCATATTTGATTATGATGTTAAGGTTTGCTGTAAAAAAAATTATAAACGTTAATACTTTTTTTTTTTAATTTTAATTGTTTCACTGTTTTTCTTACTTATACTTCTGGTGCACACTTGTGTTTATTTGCTGTTACAAACTAGAGCTGCGATTTGATACAGAAGAAGTTTGTCATTTAATAGAATGCGTCATTTAATAGTGTTTCGCGTGAAGTTGATGTATATAATAAATTATTTATATAATATATAAATGGAAATAATTTAATGTAAAAAAAATATTCAAAAAACTGCAATAAACGAAGAAAGACGAGCCACCTGTTTCATTGACCGATCCCACCACACCACATTGATATATCTACGAATTACTGGGTACAGAGGAATAACACCTGAGTTCTCAGGAATGGCAACGCATGGGGGGTATCATGGGCGAAACAGTATACTCTGTTATGTGCATGGTACTGCTCATGTCTATAGGCGACGGTTACCACTTTCCGCCAGGTGGGCCCGTCAGCTTGTTTGCCATTCTAAGTTGTATATAAAAAAAAGTAATACAATACTCTCAGTGGCATTTAATTTAAACATAGTGATCATGACAATGAAACGTCTAGATTACAATGAAACACTAAATTAATTCGAGATTACTTATTTGAAAATGTTTCAAGGCATCTGTGAGGCCGCTGTGACATTGTACGCGTGTGGTATAGCATTTTTACGCAACGGGAAGGTAAATGGAGAGTAATTTATTCAATCCCTTGAGTGATGGACGGTTTACACTTACTGATTTTGATCTTAGCAGGCCCGCTGCCCCTGATCGGTAGGATGATGACTTGGCCGTCAATCTCGTACTGCGCTTTGAGAGTCACGTTTGCCGTGAAGTCAATAGTTGCCTTGCCTTTTGATGGGTTTATTCTAAAAAGGACATAATTATATTAGATATATAATAGTATAATTTGAATATGTGTATATATATATGTGTGTATATATTTGTGTAAATGATTATAATTGATTCAGTTGAACAATTTATTTTAGTACTTTATAAATGAATGAATGAATGAATGAATGAATATTTATTTGCAAGAAATGTGGTAAATATACAGATAGATAAAATAATATTAAGTCCACATATTTCGCCACAATTAGACATGCAACATTTTAAATACTTAAATATTAAATTAACAATTCTTATAACAAAACAATATGTCAATTAAAATTTCATGTTATTTTTGTAATTTATAAGTTTTAATACTGTTTTGATCCATAACTCAGAAGTTGTTATTGAAAAGTACTATATAAACCTTGGCCACAACTAGACATTGATGGACTCACGTATGTGTGCCTCGGCTACACCTCGGCCCACATTTGCACGTTCGTCCATCAATACCTCAGTTGCTGGCCGCTGCAGTAATGTACTATTTTTCATGATACCATATATATGATACCACGCTGATATTGTGATGATGAGGTTACTTACCTGTATGTATGTAAACCTCCCTTTTATAGGGGAGGCCTGAGTACAGCAGTGGACAGTTAATGGCACAAATAACATTAATAAATACTAACTTGTAAGCATTAAGCCTGAATCCTCTCAATCCTGTGACTACAGTATCAGTGAAGACCAGTTTGAGGGAAGGGTTGTTGACCACCACGGTGCCCAGATGTAGAGGATCCAACGGTGCTATTCCTAACTCAGGGATTCCGTCCGCGAACTGCGGCCCACCGGCTTGGATCACCTTCTCGATACATTGGTCCACGTTGCTGTCTGACGCGGAGCATGGCGAGATGTAAGGCGCTGCAAGGATAACAGAAGTTGTGGTTAAGTTTAACTACAATATTATTATATCTATCTATCTATACATTTAAGAGCTGCGCTCTTGTCGGTGGAGCTCTTGCCACTCACTACGATTTTCAACGAGTCTCTTCACCTCTTGATACGACACCACACCAACTCCTTCCTTGATCTGCCTGATGTAACTATGTCTCGGCCTCCCTCTCCCCCTCCTTCCTTCTATCTTACCTTCTATTATAATGTTCATAAGTTCGTCGTGTCGTATCAAGGGTCCCAACATTTTTCCCCTTCTGTCCTCAATAGTTCTAATAATTTGTCTTTTTTCCTTAACCCTAAGCAGGACCTCCTCATTGCTAATTCGATCCCTCCATTATTATATAGAATCTCTTATTAGAATTATAGTATATAATGTAATGATTGATTGACAGACAACGCGTAACCTAAACTGGAATATCTAAAAGTCTAGACTCTGAAAAGGTCAAAATTTTGTACAATAGATTCATAATAGTTAAGTGTTAAGTCCGCCATATGTACACTTACTTTTTTTTATGTAACTTATAATGGCATACAAGCTGACAGCCACCTGATGGAGAGTGGTAACCGTCGCCTATAGACATGAGTAGTACCATGGATATAACAGAGTATATATACTGTTTCGCCCATGATACCCCCCATGCGTTGCCATTTCTGAGGACTCAGATATTCTTCCTCTGTACCCTGTAAATTCACTGCCATATCCCACCCTTCAAACCGAAACACAGCCATGCAAACACAACTGCTTCACGGTAGAATCTAATTTATATAATTGTGCATTAAGTTTATTTAAAATAAATAAATAAAAATAAATAATAACATATTCGTATTCCTTGGGTGTCATAATAGACAACTAAAAGAACTTATTTTCAAGACATGGGCAACAACGTCCCTCTTAAAACATATTTAAAAGCCTAACTGCGGTTGCTAACCCGCCTGCCAAGCATGGCAACTACTGGCAAAGCTCCCTTTATGGGGAAGACTTATGTTTAACAGTGGGCAGTTAACAGCTGAAATAACATTTTTAGGAAGCAGTAATTTACGACTTCCCGAAATTTTCGGTAGATGTCTGATAGATTACAGAGATAGACCTATAGGTAACAATTATAATTCAGTTATAACCTAGCATAGTGGGGGGAAGGCGATTGTTAGTAATGTAGACTAAGAATCACATTGCTAGCAATATACCCAACCAGGTCGACCTCCTCGCGGTTCTCCCTGGAAACTATTATGGTTAATTCCTGATGAATTCATCATGATGGGCTAACTGGCCTGTTTTCATTCTCATCTATCACCCTTCACTGGTGCTCCGCCAACGTACCCGTAAGCGCAGGCGGGGTAACCATACATAAAAAAAAACCTAGCGTAGTATGTAACTGATTCCATAATAAGGCCGTTTGAACGTAAAAAAATACTAAAATAAATAAACATTTATTTATATTTACCTTGCTATGTATACGTGTCTGTCTATATTACTATATGTAAATCTTAATATTCTTTTCTATTGTACCTCTGATAAAGTTATGACCTTGTAAAGGTCATAGATAATAATAAAAAAGCAGTATCTATTTTTTTATTATTTAACACTAAACCTACCAAGCGCGGTCAAATGACCGTTTTAGAAATGTAGTTTAAAAATTTTCATGTATAACGTTGCTGTATCACCATGTAACTTATTGACTTTTCCTGTAATATACATACATACAAGCCATTTTTCAATATTTACAACTTACTATTATTTACTTGTTCACTATCCAATTGGTTAAAATCTGTTTCTATATTAAGATACATAGTTTATTTTAAAGCGGTCGTTTGACCCGCTCATGGTAGGATTAGGTATATATGAAATGTCGGTAGGTATAGTGTTAATATATAACTTTTACAATAGACTGTGAAATTAAGTATTTAGTGAAAATATTAAAACAATTGCGTATTTTATTTCGAAATACCTATAAGATTTTAAAGAACTTTTCATAATAAAGAACTTTTCATAATTAGAAGTCGAAATATAGGTATGTGAATTAAAAAAAAAATAGAACGAAAAGTACAATGACGTATACACGTAGACTGCCTCAAAATCAAAGATATTCTTTTTAATTCATAGCAATAGTCAAATCAGATTAATGTAATTAAATTAGTAAAAAAAAAATAAGTAATTAAAAATAAAGATCCTTCAAAATGTTATCAAATATTCTATTTTTTTTTACAACACAGGAGGCAAACGAGCAAGCGGCCCACCTGATGGTAAGTGACTACCGCCGCCCATGAACACCTGCAACACCAACGGCATTGCAGGTGTGCTGGCGGCCTTATGGCGGAATATACTCTTTTCTTGAAGGTTATGTTGTCGTATCGGTTCGGAAATACTGCTGCTGGAAGTTGATTCCAAAGAATGGTTGTGCGTGGAAGAAAGTGCCATTGAAAAACGCATATTCGTTTGATCTTCTTTGAGAGATTATAAATGGTTCTACAAAGTTGCTAAACGTTGATTGTAAACAAAAGGCAAACTAAAACAAGTTAAGTACTTATGTACATACCCATATTCTATACCACCTCAGTGGTATAAAAATAACTTACAAACATTTAACTTAAAGTTATTACTTTTTCTCGGAATAACCAATAATAGTGTTAGTTCAGCACAGTAAATACGACAGAGCTATAAAACATGATGTCGGACATGTTGTAGTCATTTAAACAAATATTGTTTTTGTAAATAACAAAGTTGACTCGTACACATTGTTTACAATTAAAACTCGATTTTAGGTTCGTTTGTACAGGGTTTGCATTCAGAAGGAAAAAGATGTCCGCTCCGATTTTGCGCGTTGCTAGTTTTCCGTTGCGGTTATGTAGATAATCCATATGATATTTTTTACAAGCAAATATTTCCCGCAATGGTATATATATATACAGGCTGTAACCATACGAAATACGCATCTACATATACAGGATGTAATACATTCAATTTATTAGACAATAATTTTTCATTTATAAGGAGGTGAACCGTGAGATTACAGAATAGAATGAGCTATCCTTTCCTTTCCCGTGGAAGTCGTAAGTGGCGACTAAGGGAATTTAATGGTCGAGAAATGGGCAGCAGCGTTCCTCTCACGAGACTCATGGGAAAGGAAGGGGTGACCCGTTCTATATCGGAACCACACGGTTCTAGTATTGCGCAGTGTGAGATATTAAATTTTATTTTAATTTCAATTAATTGCAATTAACGACCTCCGTGGCGTAGTGGCGGTCACGTCGCTTTGCGTAAATGAAGTCCCGGGTTCGAATCCGGCCGGGCCAATTAATCAAACCAGCTTTTTTGGATGCCCTGGGTTGTGTTCACAGATGTTCGTTGCTCGATTCCTCATTACACTAGGTCTCCTAGCTTGAGAACCAGCGTATTGGTGTGATTGTGTATTACCTTATTAATTTAATAATTTAATTTTATAAAACATCTATTTAATTTCGTTTGTAATTAAGTTAATAATGTTTAAATATATTAAAAAAATATTATTAATATAGATGGATTATATTTAAGTATTTAATTACTGTATTATCTAGAGCTAACAAAATTTTTTATCGTGCCTCCTACCAAATTGTTTATAATTACTCCTCTCCATTCAAAGGTTGCCTGGAAGAGCTCGCTCTTAGCGATAAGGTCGCCCATTGTTTTCTCACTGTGATTATTTCTTGTAATTGTTTATATTGATAATAAGTTTACTATTGTAATCTTTTGGAGGAAACAATAAAGAGTATCTATCTATCTATCTATATAGGGATAAATAAGTGAAAATTTTCAAATTACTTTCGATGTATCTAATTCACGTAGTTTCGGATGTACATGCAAACTTTCATTTCCAATTTTTACAATTTACAATCCTCAAGGTATAGTAAAAAATCCACATATTTTTCTAGGTTGTTAAGTAACTTTTTAAATTTTGCACTTCTAGTGTCAATAGTTTTTCAAAGGCATCAACGAAGAATCGAATCTACTAAAATTTCTACATTACTAATTAATATATTATTATGTTATCCATATAATAAGTTACATATAATTGTGTTATTGGACATTAAAAATCAGAGAATGTTCATGTAAACATAATAATTTGGCCGTCAAATATGCTATGTTCTGAATAAATAATTATTTAATAAGGAAAATTACGGCATGAACCTTACAAAACGTGGTCAAGGCTCTATTATCTGAGGTTATGTTATAGTTTACACTGGGTGTAAGTAAAGGTAAAAATAAGAAAGATCATCCTATACAAATAAACCTTTTTGTAAAATTTGTAAAATAAACCTATGGCTCACTACACGTTTTGGGAAACTGTAAGTTTGGTGAGTAATTTTCAAATAAATAAATAAATAACAACAGCCTACTGAGCATTCTGTACAATTTTAACATGAACATGTTTTATTTATTTTTTATTTTAATATTTAAAAATATTATATTTACTGTAATTGGTTTTAAGGTAATTGGATTCCCAATTTGTATACCAGACAATACGAGTATTATGTTTATTTTTGGAGGGTAGGTTAAATTAAATAGAAAAAATAAATCTATGGAGATAATTATTTGAAACGTCGCATCACTGGAGGTTCAGCAATAATTAGTGTAAAAGTGTGTGTTATTTATGTGTGTAGTGTTGTGTGTACAAAGAAACAAAATGTCATGTGGTGATAAAAAAAGTTTTTTTTATCATGTTTTCCTATTTATCCCGTGATGAATATAAATACATAGATTTAAATGTTAAAATAATTATTTTTAATAAATAAAAAAATTCTGTATAATTAAATTAAGGAGAAATAATATAAGTTACATGAAATAGATATTCTAAAATTTCTACTTATTTTCATATTATTGTAATAAATTTAATTTTTCTCTTATTTGTTATTTGTTTCTTATTAAAAAAAAATGTTAATAAAACAATTAAGAAGTATTCTTATTTTATCTATGTAGTAATTATAGTAGGTGT